AATCCTAAGCGAAGACAATCATGGGTAGACCCTGGCCAATCATCGACATCCACACCAAAGAGAAATATTCATGGCCACAAAGCAATGCTTTGCATTTGGTGGGATATGCATGGCGTCGTTTATTATGAGTTATTGAGACCGAACGAAAGTATCACGCGGGATCGATATCAATCACAATTAAACCGTCTAAATGAAGCATTGTTGGAAAAAAAGCTAGCAGTAGTCAGCAATCGACGTAAAGTCATGCTTTTGCACGACAACGCTCAACCACACGTTGCCAAAGCTGTCAAAGAAACATTGATACAGCTTGAGTGGGAAGTTCTCCCGCACCCAGCGTATTCACCAGACTTAGCTNCCTTCGGACTATTACTTGTTCCGGTTGATGCAGCACGGCTTGGTGGATACACACTTCAGAAACTACGAGAATGTGCGAAAATGGATCGACGAATGGATTGCATCAAAAGACCAATCGTTCTATCGTCGCGGAATCTACGCGTTGCCCGAAAGATGGGAAAAATGTATAGCTAGCGAGGGAAAATACTTCGATTAATGTATTTTTTGCTTTTGATGTCGAAATAAATGAGTTTTTTGAACAAAAAAACCGCAGGAATTAAGTTTACCACCTAATACAATGCGGGCCTAACTTTGATGTACTTTTAAACCATTGGAGAACATGAGAAATAACTTATTTTTATTATTTACTTTTAACGCACTTTAGAAAATATATTATTTTGAATTATATTTTCATTTTTAATCATAAAAAAGTTTCCGGATATATCTCTCAATCCAGCTCTCAAAATTAGAAAACTCTTTTAAGTTTCAACAAAGAAGAAATGGCCACATACGAGGTCTGTTCAAAAAGTATCGCGAATTTTGAATTTCCGCGAGTCACATATATTCGATTTTCGATTTTTTTGTGGCGTTATGTTGGTACTCATGTCCCTCACTTATGCCGACAAGTTCGGCCATTTTGAATATTCAGTTTATCTTTGACAGCTGTTTTGCTTAGACGTGTTTTGGCTCGTCTTCGATTTTTGCCTATTCCAAAAAATGGATCAAAGAATCTGTATCAAATTTTGTGTGAAAAACAAAATTAAGTGCGCGGACACATTTCGAATATTGACTGTGGCATATGGTGAAGCTACCTTGGACCGAAGCATCGTTTATCGGTGGTACAAAATGTTCTCAGAGGACCGAGAAGATGTGAACGAAGAGCGTGCCGGACGCCCGAGCACGTCAACAACAGACGAAAATATTGATGAAGTGAAGAAAATAGTATTGGCCAATCGTCGAATCACCGTTAGAGAAGTTGCTGAGGACCTAAACATATGGATTGGTTCGTGCCATTCGATTTTTATTAATGATTTGGGCATGGGACGGGTCGCCGCGAAATTCGTACCAAAATTGTTCAATTTCGACCAAAAACAGCATTGCATTAACATTGCTGGGGAACTGTTGGACTCTGTCCGCG